CTCTCTCTCTCACACACACACACACACACACACACACACACACACACACACACACACACACACACCCCTCCTCCCCATCTCTCTTCTTCCGTTGGCATGGCTGCTGGGGGCGGAGGGGGGGGGGGCATGCTTTTTTTTTCCTGCGCACATGGCGCACAGGCCGCAGTGCGCGCACAGCGCACAGCGCACAGTGCGCGTGCTGCTAAACCTGCGCACAGCGCACAGCGCACCGGCGCGCACCGCGCACCGCACACGTGCACCGCAACTATGGTTTAACTTGATTACCCAAATAGCGGATTTTGTCAAAATCAATGCGGCAGAGGCTTGCCAAGTCCAAAGGTCCAGTATTAATTTCCCCCCAGGCAGGAGTTGTCTCTATGTCGTAGGATGAAATCTGCACTGTGGAGATGCTGCCCCTTGTGTTCTACGGGTAAATGCGTATGAATGAACATCTTTAAGATCACAGACAAAATAGAAGCTGAACATCTGAAGAATAATGAACAGGAGTATACCTCCCCTTTTACTCTGCCTGCTTTCATAATGTGCAAGTGTGCCTCTAAGGCACACGGGGATGTGGTCAGCTGGTGCTTAACCACAGTCATTGTGGTGACACGCCCACCCGCCCGCCCAGACACAAAAATATGCACGCACGCATGGACAAACACAAACACACGCATGCACGCATGCACAAACACAAACAACACACATTCCAGTCTTGCTAGCTCTCTGTCTTGGCAGATTTGAGCGGCTAGGATCGGGCTCGTCCTAGCGAGCTATTCCCTCTTTTGTGGTTGGATATGTGTTGTCGGTTTTGTTGATTATACATGGCCTAATTCTTTGCCCTGCTTTAGAGCATGGGCTGCTTGGATGTTTACGGGTGGCCACAAGTTCTCTTTTGGGGGAATGTATGTTTTGTGGGCCGGCGTGGAAGGCTTTCCCAGTTTTTTCGGACCCTTAGCAGGGGGGTCGGTGCGTTCTTGCTGGAGGAGTCTTCTGTCTTAGGTAAGTTCTCTTATCTTCTTTCTCCTCTTTGGCAGTGACACGAGTGTGTAGTTTGAGATGAATGTCGGGAATGCCAATGCTGTTATATTTGTTTGTTTTTGGTAAATACGTTTTTGGTTTTGTGGGCCGGCGCCGAAAGGCTCTCCAAGTTTTTTCGGACCTTTGAGGGGGTTGGGTCGGTGCCTTCTTGCTGGAGTAGTCTTCTGTCTTAGGTAAGTTGCCTTCTGCCTTCCATCCTCTTATGGACTTTGAAATATATATGTATACATATGTATATGTGCAAGTGTGCCGCTGTGGCGGCAGTCGGGTGTGTGGGCACTTGGCGCTGAACCACACAAACGTGGCCAACCATGCATTTTTTATCGTTAACTAGAACCGTTTTGTTTTAGGGATGGCTTGTGATGATTTGTGAAGCGAATGAGAGAGAGAATCTGGGGTCGTTTAAAACAACACATACACGCACACACATGGTGCATCCTGGGCAGATTGTTGGGGTTCAACCTCCTGGTGGGTCGGTGAAAGTCTGACGAAACAGTCTGGCACAGTCATGCTTTTCTTTGTGAAGTCGTTTATAGAGAATATGACAACACAGTGAACACACACCCACCCACGCACACATACCATTTGGTCGCACGAATGTTGGGCAAACCACGTACTTCGCTCACTGTCATCTTTAACAGCATTGGCATTGCTAAGCACCCCTCGCGTTGTCAAAGCATATGAACGACAGATAGTTTTTGATGCTGCTCCAAGGATCTCTGCAAAACTCACTGCTACTGAATATACACGGAATCTCTTTGCTATCTTCGCTTATGATGCGTTTGTTGGGGACTCAGATTGAGTTACTCGCTCGAAGGGACCTTGCTCTTGAAGGGGGGGTAGTGTAAGGACCTGGCTAAACACGGACAGAGAACACAACTGATTTCTGAGTTTTGCTGTTAGAATGAATGCCTTGCTGAGATTCCCGCTTTCGGCTGAGTTTTCTAAGTCTGTGTGTGTGCGTGTTTGCTGGTCTGCGTGCCTGTCTGAGTGCTTGTTGGCTTGAGTGTGTGTGTGTGACCCGCAAGGGCACTTGTTTGTTTGGGAGGCCCCGCAGGGCCCGTACTTACCTTTGGCCGTGACTTTGAGGGTTGCAGCGCGGAAAACACTTAAGTAGCTGGAGTAGGCTCACGACACTTAAAGCAGCGGGGAAAAACACTCAAGCAGCAGGTAGGCTGGTACCACCCAGAGTAGCGGTAGATGTGTCGGGGACTGGTGGCCGAGCAGAAGAAGACAAAAGTTGGTATTTTTAAAGGCCCAGTAGGGGTAGGCTAGGTCTAGGCGGGTACCAGTCCAAGTAGCCTGTAGTCTAGTGCCCGTGCGGGCGACATCAGAACCTGCAATGATGTTTCCCCTTCTAAAGGGAGGCGGTACCGGATCAGAACCTGCAATGATGTTTCCCCTTCTAAAGGGAGGAGGTACCGGTCGCTTCGCGCGGCCTGGAAGTCACCACCCAAGGAGGCTGCTGCCTCACTATATCTCCAGGAAGAGCCAGGAGCTCTCCCTCATTTGCTGCGTGCAAGTTTGGACGTCACGCTGCTGGAGCGCTGGTTGGAGCACTGCTGAGTCCAGCACTGGGGAGAAGAGGAGCGCCCATCTCTCCACCTTGGCTATGGTGGAGGAGCTAGGGTAGGAGGAGGAAGAAGGGGACTAGGAGAGGGAAGCGCCAGGGGTACTTACCTGGCTATAGTGGGCGCCCTCTTCATCACCTTGGTGGGCGCTGAATCTGGAAGCCCCCTGTTGGCTGCATGAAGAAGCTTCAAGGTGGAGTCGGGAATGGCGGCCTGAACGGAAGAGGTCATAGCTGCTTTGCATTGTCTTTTGCACGTCAGGGCAGGGCCCTTAGTAGTCTGCCATAGCCTCGGTCTGGATGAAGAAGGAAGAGGAAGGCGGCCATGGCTATGGTGGACCTCAAGTTGTGCTGGCAGTAGAAGACAGATTCGGACATTGATTCTGGTTCTGCCATTCATCATTATTATTATGATTTAATTGTTTGAATAACAGGGGAGGAGAAAAGGAGTAGTAGTTTGGTTGGCAAGGAGGAGGATTCTCAGTGGTCTTTTCCTGGTGTACATCTTTTTCTTCTTTTTTCTTTTTTCTTCTTCTTCTTCTTCCTCTCTCTCCCCTCTCAAGTTCATTCGTTTCTTTCTGCAATTAGACGGCTTTGTACTTTCTTGTGATTTTGCACCTGAAATTGTGCAATTGGACGGCATTTTACTTTTTCACGATTTTTCACTTCGAAATTGGCCAGACAGAAAGTTTTTGAGAATATCAGGCATGCACAATTGAAGATGGGAGAGCAAGCTAACAAACACCGCAGACCTTCAGAGTTTGCAGTGGGTGACGCAGTCTGTGTGAAGTCCAAGGAATTTATATTTGAATGTGATGTGGGGACTCCCTATCCTCCGGCCGTGCACCAAGACCCGGAGGAGGATAGGGGGTTTCCCAAAGAACAACTGCGTGAGACTGCATCTCGCACAGTCTGGCATTACAAACAAGCACGCAGGGGTATTTGTGAGTTTGACTGGTAGCTACTCATGATGCTGTCATCGTCATTTCAACCTGATGTCAATGATGAACCATTTATTGAGCAAACTCTTGATAAGCATCTCAGCTTCTGGCTGAAAAGAGTGGCTCATGGCAAACCACCACTGCCAAGTTCCTATAGCCAGTAGATCTCGATCCCCCGAAAGGTGGATCGCTGCATTCTGTGTGTGTTTTGAGAGAGAGAGAGAGAGAGAGAGAGAGAGAGAGAGAGAGAGAGAGAGAGAGAGAGAGAGATTCTGACACTGTACCTGATTAAGATATGGAAAATGACATCAGAGGGCAGCTGGCATGACTCGTTTGTTAACAGCTATAATGCTTTGTCACCTTTGTGTGATTTATGGGCATATTTTATTTTGTAGCTGGACATTTTGTTTGAAGGGAGTGGGCACACGGGGGGAGGAGGGCAGGGAGGAAATAGTGAGAGAGATGCTGACATGTTTTTGATTCTTCTGCAGAGGTGTTCATGGGGTTTACCAGAAGGGGAGAAAGCAAAGAAGCATCATTTTTTGAGGGACAAGAATTCTCATTGGAAGCTCTCAAAGCAGCAAACAGAGAAAATAGAGGTTTTGCAGGTGGTCAGGGGGAAGATCGCACCATCCTTCCCCTCACCGAAGGCAATAGTCGGCACTTGGATCCAGTGCATAGTACTCGCGGGAATCGAGATGGGGATGGAGAAGACCTAGAAGCTGGGCAGGTTGGTGGCTGTAAATCAGTTGCAGCGAGTGGTCATTGTTATCAGGTGACATACAGCTATACCTGTCAAAGGTTCTTTCACATTTGGATTGAACTGTTGAAGAAACGGGCCATCATTGCGAAAAGAGATGTGAAGGTAAGCAAAAAAATGCTACTTGAATCCTTCTCCTGCCTTTTCCTTTTCTCTCCTTACGCTGGGGAGTATCCAGAGTCTCCTGTTTTCTCAATTCATGCGTGTCATCCTTGTCCAGGGGCCATGCTAAGCTTCTCTGGGCCTTGTGGCAAAAATCAAATTGAGGAAAACTATAATTGTCCCTAGTCCACAGGATAGCTAAAAAGGTATTCCCGGACTCTCCACCGATACTGGTTTAACCCCTTTTAATGAAGTAAAAGGGGTAGCCCTCTCCACACTGCTCAATGGTTTATTTATTGTTTTGTCATCTGATCAACGAAGCATGGAGGAGCGTTATCATCACGAAAAGAAATGTGAAAGTAAGAAAAAGAGATGCTTGTGAACCTGGGAAGACTCAAACCCTTAAAGCTCTTTCCTGCCTTGTCTCTTTCTTTCTTCCTTTGGGGAGTATCCGGAGTTCTTGTCCTGCATGCCAGTCAGTGCCTGGTGGCCAAAATAAAAATAGAGGAAAACTGAAATTGTTGTTAGGCCGCAGGATCATACCGAAATTATTATCCCACTCTGCAGTGATACTGGCTAAACCGGGTAAACCCTTTTTAAGGAAGTAAAAAGGCATAGCCCTCTCCACAGTGCTCAATGGTTACTTCACAGTGTTTTAACAACTGATCGACAAAATGGGGAGTGAGAAGTGGCCAAATACTGATCGTCCTTCTTCATTTTTACTGTCCCATTGTCTAGTCATACGGGCTAATTCTTTTGAAAAAGTATAAAGGGAGAGTATCCCTCACACTTCCCAATACTTTGTTTCAATTTGTTCCTGTTTTTCATCTCACCAATAAAGGTAGAGGAGTGATGTTTTGCATCTTTGGCCTGTGTGTATTTGATGAATAACCAGATCGCTACAGTGTTGTACGCAGCTGTGGTTGACTGCAACCCCTCTTTGTTTGAATGCGGGAATGTGGTCTACCGGAGCTGTGAGGAGAACTTGCAAGTTTCTATTTTGAATTTTTGAATGGTTTTAACCATAGTTGCGGTGTACAGCGCGCTACGGCCCTGTGCGGGTAGGTGCGTGAAGAGCGCTCATCGGTGCACATGGTGTGTGCCTTGGTGGCTATGGCCTGCCTCAGGTGCGTGAGCCGCGTGCATCGGTGCACATGGTCTGGCCCTCTCTAACCTAGATTGTCACCCTGGATACACACACTCAGGTAAGCTTACACCTTGGTGGCTATGGCCGCCGTCCGCTATGGAGGCTATGCAGTCACTCGCAAGCGCCCGCTTCTTCTTCGGGCACGCAGTGCCCAAGTAGTCTTAACGCACAAGCAGCAGCAGCGCTTCTGCATCTCGCAACTGAACAAGTGATGAGCCGCTGCACTGTAGCAGCTCAATATAGGACTTGGCCCTGGCTTCGCTTGGGTTGGCTTGGCCTGCTTCAGACCGGTACCGGTCAGCCGCGGCGTGTCTGCTGCAAACATGTTGCTGGTCCAGTACCTTCTGGACTTTCCTGGACATGCTGCAAAATTGGACTTGGGACTGTCGGACTGGATTGCACTCTTCTGGACTTTTCTAGTCGGGTACCAGACGGACTCCTACCCACCTACGACACTTCGGTACCGACACCTACAGACCTATGAAACGGTTTTCACCTCAGCAGTAGCAGATGCAGATCCCAGGGCTCGATCCCTAGACCTTACCACACCCGTGTACAGTATTGAGTCGACACCTGACCCTGTGTGTGTTTGAACCTGTGACCTGTGTTTTGGTAGTTGACTGAAGTCGATCTGTAGGTCTGTCGAGTAGGGGTCATAGTTGTGTAGAGGTCGTAGCTACAGCAAATCTGAAAGGTCAAGATCGTAGCTGCTACAGTCCTGAAAGGTCAAGGTCGTGGCTGCTACAGTCCCGAAAGGCCAAGTCTACAGACTTCCGGAAGGTCTGGAAGTGGCCTTTCGAGTTTTTCATCACGTTACTCACAGCAGACCAGAGGCAAGTGGGCAAGTGGTGAGTCCAACTTCGCTTAGTCAGTGGTACCCAGTCCCAGTCTCACTTTGTACAGTCAGCAAATACCATGAGGGACTGTGTGCACCATGGGCCTGGTGGAAAAGGGAGGACCAGCGACTTACAAAAGTATAAATCAAGAGGCAGCGTCCAGCCGTTCATTGATTCCTGCGTGAGCCATGCGGAAGCGCTGCCCTAGCGTCTGGTGGAGGATGAAGTGGGCCGAAGGAAGATAAGTGTATGTGCGTGGGATATTCAGGGTGATCCAGAGACGAGTACGTGTGAACATTGTGTGGACACAGTGACGAACGAAGGATGTGTGTGAGCGCTCAGGCGCCATAGCCAGATGGAAGCAAGCTTGAGTATCTCTGAGCTTTGTGTGGGCGCACAGCGCCAGTGTGAATTGTCATCTCTTTGCATGTATTCAAAGTGAAGAAGAAAGCGAGTCTGATTGCACCTACAACGTTTCAGCCTACGGACCCTACGGCCTACCCTACTGGGACACTTGGGACACTGGGACCGGAACTGGAGTGTCTGCATTGTGAATTCTTTCAGGGGGGGGCTCTTTAGGCTTCTGGGCTGTTCTTTTTTTTTTTTTTTTTTTTCTGTACTCCAAGAGCAATAACCGTGGAGTGCCTCTTGAGCTGCGCAATGACCTGCTTCACGAGAGCCATTTTTACCTGCACACATACTGTCCAGAAATAGCCCTGGTTTCAGACCTTCTGTCGGCACCCGCTCTTGGAGCACCCCCCAATAAACCCCACAGTGCACCCCCTCCACCCTCCAAACCCCCTGTGAATCCCAGCCCCCCACCTCTAATAACCCCCCCTTACCTCGGCCCCCCAACCCAACTCCCCTCCCCCCCTCTTCCACACCTTCTCAGCGCCCAAGGCCCCTCGCCTAGTCCCCCTTCGACTCCCCACCCCCTTTTCCACCCCTCACAATCAGCAGCTAAATCGCCAATTACCGTTGTCCCACCCCCTTTCAAGATCAAGCATTGACGAACGAGCCCCCCACATTCCCTTTTTCCCCTTTCAAGAGCAAGCCCGTTGCCATGGCCGACTCCCACCGAAACTGCGGTTACCGTTGTCAATGATGAAGATCCGATTGGAAAGGGAAAAAAAAAAAAGAAGGTATGATGAGCGAGGGAGAAGGAGAAGTACGATGAAGGTGGAGGGAGGAGAACGACGATGGAGGAGAAGAGCGATGAAAAAGCAAGATGACGAGCGATGGTGAAGTATGACGAGGGAGGCGGGAGGAGGAGACCGGTGATGGAGGGAGGTATACAAGGATGACAATGATGAGGGATGACGAGGGGAATCCGATTCGGATGGGGGAAAAAACGGGGGGGAAGAGGGTGGAGGGAGGGAGGGAGCAGTATCGATGAAGGAGGGAGGAGGGAGGAGGAGACCGCTGACGAAAGAGGGAGGTAGATGAGGATGGCATTGATGAGGGACGGCGAGGGGAATCCGATTCGAACGGGGAAAAAAAATGGGAGGAGGGAGGAGGGAAGTAGGGAGGTAGGGAGAGGTATGACGAAGGAGATGTATGACAAAGGAGTATGATGAGGGAGGAGGGACGAGGGGGGAGTATGGAGAAGAAGTATGGCGGAGAAGGGAGGAGAACTAGGACGAGCGAGGCAGGAGGAGGGAGGAGGGAGGAAGGAGGAGGAGACTGATGGCGAAGGAGGCCCTGTTCACTACGCTGGAGGCCCTTCTTTATATTTGAAGGAACTGGAGGAGAACGAAGAATAGGGAAATTGGATCAAAGAAAGAACGAGGGAGGGGAAAGGAGAAAAACGATGATGGAGGAGAGGTATGACGAACGAGGAGGGAAGTATGATGAGGGGAGGGAGGAAGAGGAAGATAACGATGATGAGGGAGGAGAGAGGAGGGAGGGGGAGGGCAATGACGGGGGGAGTAAGAGAACGATGACGAGGGAGGGTTGAGGAGGATGAGAACGATGGGGAGGGTAATTGAATTTGAGTAAAAAAAAGAACCGGAGGAGAGAGAGAGAGGGAGGGGGAGAGAGAGAGAGAGAGAGAGAGAGAGAGAGAGAGAGAGAGAGAGAGAGAGAGAGAGAGAGAGAGAGAGAGAGAGNGAGAGAGAGAGAGAGAGAGAGAGAGAGAGAGAGAGAGAGAGAGAGAGAGAGAGAGAAGAGGCTGGTGGTAACCCACCACTGTTGTTAATGCGGCTTCACTCCTCCCGCTGCTTCCTCCGACTCCTCCCGCTGCGCTGATGATGGCCACACGGTGACGATGAGGCTGCTTCCTTGTGCACGGACGAGGCGACAAAGGCCAACACAAGGCGGCTGGGAAGGAGAACGTGCTGTCCAGCCTCTGCAGCCAGCATGGTGGGTCTGAGCAGTTCAAAATCGAGCTACGCAGATCTTCCTCTTTTTGTTTTTTGGTGCCCACGGACGGCCTACAAAACAGTTTTCCCCACTTTGGTACCGTTTGGCGCGAACGGACATAAGGGCCTACAACCCCCCCCCCCCCCCCCCCGCAACTTTTTCTTTTTTTGCTGACCCCTGATTTTCGAGGTGCACCGCACGCTGTGCGCAATGCGCGGTGCGGGGCATCTGCACTGTGCAGCGCACCTCAATGCACCGCGTGTATGGTTTTAACAGTTGGCGCAAGACTGTATGGGTAAACAAAATAGAAAATGAGGACGACTACAAGTGTTTGTTACCTGTACCTGGATGGCTGATTTGTATGCACATGTGAATGTTCACAAACAGATCAAGAGTTCAAATTGAGCTAGGTAAACTCTTTCTTTTTTTCGGGAAAAAAGAGCTGTTTGTCACCGGATAGTAAATGCACTGTTTTGCTGTGTGCGTGGTGCGTTGGACTCTATTGATGGGCCCATGACCTGTATGCGTCAGACTCATGCCCGTAGTCACTTCGTGGTTTCTACTGCACTGCGGAGGCTGAATAGACTTGCACATGCATGTGTGCACAACTCCCAGGAGCTGTTTTAACCACCCAAGGCACTTCACAGGCAACACTCTTCTCCCACCATATGCACTAGAAGAATGTTGAATCTCGGGTGAAACACTCCTCACGGTAAGAAGAATAAAGGAGGGTAGATACGGTCAGAGGCAACATACCTTGTCCATGCTGCCCCCAACAGCAGATTATCGCACCAGCTGTGATGATGTGCTGTTCATTGACGGGTTGTAGCTATGGAACTCCCGGCAATACAATGCAAGTGCCTCTGTGAGCAACGTCGAGCCCCAATACATATGATGCACCCCTTTCAATAGCCTTCCGGCCGTGCACGCTCTACCTCATGCATGACCGGTACCCCAACATGTACATGATCACACTGCTCACATAGCCCGTGAGCACCGCTCCAACCAAACGCACTAGAACCAAGTGGCGAGAGCCTATGAACCAGCTCTGGTACTAAATTGCAACGAAATAATAATGCGAATAGCAATGAACCAGATTGCTACATCTCACAGAAGACCAGACATCATTGAGCCGAAATTGAAAGCACAAATCGAAGCGAGGTTCATTCCAAATAGGAATGAGCAAAGCACTGAAGTATCTTGACAATGAAAGCCCTTCCCAACACCTCCAATCATTAATGCAACTACACTGTAGCCTCTCTACTGGCGTCCTGGACGTCGATTCTACCTCCTACAGCTCCTATCAAAGCTTCCTTATGTCTACAACAGGTCCACGTGTCATTGGCCCAATGCGGCTTGAAGACTCTGATCCAACAGCCTGCCTTCATCAACACCAGGTGCTTGCCTCGTCACACTGCCTCTCCCCCTTGTCCAACCACCCTCTGTTCCACCAAGGACCTCCGCTACTCCACCACCGGCTATGGAGCAAGCAGACTGGCTACGGATGCTGCTCTCCCTCTTCTTCCCTCCCTCCTTGCTGCCATTGTGCACCTACCTCCTGGGGACAAGTGTCGAGCAGCTGCTCGAGCAGCACTGCCGCATTGCCTGGAAGCCCGAATGTGGGAGGTAGGGCGCCCTCCAGTTTTTTGTGCTGGCCGGAGAGACGGTGGAGGCATTGCCAAGGCTGCGCCCGGTGGAAGAAAACTGATCTTGTCCTTTTTGGATGGCACTGATCTGGGACTGAATATTATTAACGATAATGTCAACAAGGACAAACAAGTTCGTCCCATGTCTGTCCCTCGTCTGGAAAATAATGATCCTAGGTGTACTTTGTGCGATATCTGCATGTTGTTGTATTGGGTCTCACACACTTATGTCCTGCGTTGGGATTGTGGGTGGCAGGGCCTAATTAATTCTATCGCGCTGCCTGTGGGCGCAGTTGCATTTGTATTACTCATTTTACGGCTAAATATCAATCCTGCGGTGAGTTCTCAGTCCATCATCGATCAAACTCCCTATAACAGTAAAATTCAAACGTGCCAACTTCTGGAACTCCATAATAGCCTTGCCGTTTTTCACAAAGTTTAAGTGGTGTATGTTTCCTGCTCGGTGCCGCTGCCTCAACAAGGCTGTGTAACACACTAGTGTTGGGAACCTGAGACTGTGATTTGCTTGTTCTGTGTTGCTTTTCAAGTCCTCTGTTGCCTGGCAATGTGTGGTATTGTCTACAATTTTAAGCATCTGATGTCGTTGTTTATTCTGTACATCCGTTAAAATTGGAACAATACATAGAGGATTAGCATGGCCCCTCGGTAAAGATGAGACAAATCAAGCACTGCTCCAAAAGGACCAAAACATCCTTCCTTTCTTGCATTTTCAGGAAAAGCCAAGGATAGGCCTGTAGTAGTTCTAGGTTACTTGTGCTGCCCGGCTGTGCAGCCCGGGCCAGGCATCCGGGCAAGTCGCCCGGGGGTCTGACACCCGTGGTACTGGGGCATGAGAAGTGGGCTCTTTTTTTTGTTTTTGGCAGTGTCCCCCCCC